CCGATCGAACAGTCGTCAAATCGCTTCGTGTATATCTCAAGGAGCACGTAGCGGATGATCGGCTTGGCGACAGTGAAAACAGCGAGGCGGAATTGCATTAAAGGGCCCATTCACTCACACGACCGATTTGATTTTCAGGCCTTTCCAAACTAGCGCCAACTACCCACAATATTAGACCAGGTCAACACGTCCATAATCACTTACTTTGCAAGCTTGGATAGGCTCAGATTGTCGATTTAGCGATAAGCTGGAGAATTTTCGCTTAAACCATATAAGTAGGATATAACGACATATAAATCCGATTCCTCCAGCTTCATCCAGCTTCGGCTGGAGAAATTATCTTACAGAGATTGACCTCGCACACTCCACCTAGAAGTCGAACTAAGGCCCTCAAAAGTGACTAAGAACTTCCTTTGCTCTTTTTGTTCAAAAGTGAACAAAAATCTATGTACTGCTTGACGTGTGACTTTTCCATTTGATTTGTGAAGATGATCTGTTTAAACACATCATCTTCACATACTTAAAGTGCAATGTAAATTTCGTACAAAAGTACAGTATTGTATTTGATAAACTGAAACAACAAAAGTGTAAGGTGAAAGCACACAACAGTACAGCACTACCCCCGATCCAGAGAAAACCAAGTACTTTCAATCTGAAAGAGCTTTAATCGATTCATCTCCTGTGCGTTGGCTGAAGCGTGAAAGCTTCTTTTGGGTGGGATGAACAGCAACTTGTTGCACAGACAATGATTCTTTTCGAGAAACGTAAGTGATGACATTTACAGGTTCACACCAATCATTACAGGTAAGGCTGACATAGCTCTCGCCTTTCAAAGTGCCTCCTTGAGGTTGATGCGTTTCGTACATGTCCTAATGCCTAACGTAGATATGTCATTACCGCAGATAAAGGAGCTAATCAAAATATAGTCTGATAACAAAAACGCAAGTTCCAAACTTTTGTAGCTCACGTAAGATAGTCGTTCTCGCATAATACGTCGTTTGTCACGTCGGTTGTCGCGCTAGCAATCATTCAGAGTATTCTGTGGCTTCATATGACATTTTAATGTAATACATGAAATAAATTACCTTTTTTTGCAATAAGTAGCTTTTCATATAGTGTCACTACATCACAATAATGTCCACTCTCTTTAGCAGACACTCGAGGCGGTCGCTGACAGCGCTTGCATTGATTTCAGGCGGTGCCTACTTTGTCGATGAAACTTATGCGTAAATTTAAATTTTGAAACTAACACTATCCATGAAATCTTATAATCTTTCTATATGCAAGCAGCAACATTCTGTCGCGATCGCTGCGTGTGTTTGTCACTGGTGGTCAAGTGTTGTGGGACCATCACCTTCATTGGAAAGGTGTTGAGAAAGACGATCCAGACTATCGCTTTAAGCTTCGAAATTTAAATCAGCGTATTGCTCAGAGACTTCTCCATTTGTGCTATGAGAATGGAGGCATTTACACAAAATTTGGTCAGCAACTCGCCACGTTAAATCACGGACTTCCTAAGGAGTACACAGAGACACTTGCCAAACTGCAGGATCAAGCCAAGCCAGTATCATTTGACAAGATTAGGCAAAGCATTGAGGCGGAGTTAGGGCGATCCTGGGATGAGATTTTCAAAGCTTTTGACCCGACGCCGATCGCATCAGCATCTTTGGCTCAGGTACATCACGCCGTGGATACTTGTGGGCAAGAACTGGCTGTTAAAGTTCAATATCCTCATCTGGAGCTGCAGATGAGTGCGGACCTAAAAGTTATCAAGTGGGCATTTCAAGTCACTGAGTACTTTTTTCCTGATGTTCAAATTCAATGGCTTTTACCAGAGTTCAGAAATTCTTTGCTGTCAGAGGTATATTGACCAAGATGCATTTTAGTTACTGACTGACCTTGAGCGTATGATATGAGTCTGTAGCTGGATTTCGAAAATGAAAAAAACAACAGCCGTCGATTTGCAGATTACTTCAAGCACAATAGCAATGTTCATGTGCCCCTCGTTTACGACCATTTAAGCACAAAACGAATGATGACAATGGAATATATCAACGCACCAAAGATCTCGCAGATTGAATCCATCAAGGCATTGAACCTCGACCCTATTGAAGTTGCACGAGTGTTATGTGAAGTGTTTAGCGAAATGGTGTTTTGCCATGGATTTGTACATTGCGATCCACACGCCGGTAATATTTTTGTGCGCCAAAATCCTGACATACATGGTAAATACAAAGCACAACTTGTGCTGCTCGATCATGGACTTTATCGGGAGCTGGACGATAACTTTCGCAAAACGTATTGCGACTTATGGCGTGCGATGTTAATGCGAGACAATGCACTGTTGAAGGATTGCGGTAAACGACTACATATTGTAGAATTTGTGAAATACTTGCCGCTTTTGTTCACATACCGTACAATTGAGCACAAAGGGCGTCTAGATGCTTCCATGAGCGAATTGGAGCGTCAAAAGCTGTCGGAGGAATTAAAAAAATTGCGATTTTCTAGCGTACGTAATCAAAAAAAAATGTTGTGTATGATTGAAGACTGACTCACAACGACTTTTAGGTCACTGACTTTCTGGAACAGCTTCCAAGGGATATGTTATTTGTTTTTCGGACAAATAATATGATACGAGCTCTCAATAAGGATCTTGGAGGAACCACAAGGTGCAAACTTATGCTTTATCCCACGGAGGTCATAAATAACTCAATCGGTTTGATGCTCACAGAGAAAGATTTTCAATAATGGGGACTTTCGCTATTTCTGGTCATTCCTCGTTCTATTATCCTCCAAATCAAGGGGGCTACTCTGGTTTAATGACTTCGATAGTCTATTGGTGGCATCATCTTAATCTGGTGTTTCGTCTTCGTGCGATCGATCGTGTGACGGCTGCTATCGAGTTTGCCAGAGGCAAGCCGCCAGCAAAGGTCAAACATGCTGGTTGATGAGTCCTTCTTTCTGTACGCAGTATGAAGCTTGTTAGATGTACCAGTGTTTGATAACTATTGACACAAGACGTGAAGAAAACAGAATCATGTGTAGCACTGTCAAAACATTTTTTAATGCACTAACGATGAGATGTTGACGAAATTGAAATAATGTCGACACGCAGTCCATTAAACGATAAGTCAAAAATACAAATTGAAAAATGAATAGCAGCAACCACCACTTCGAAGTGCATGTGCAAAAAGCCACACTACATTAAGCCTATTTGAGGTTATTCACGCAACTTGAAGAGTTGCCAAATTAGCTTTGATTACGTCGGGCGGCTCCTCTTACTGACAGTAGTACGCGACCATTTCACCAAGTAATATATGTGGATCGTGTAGATTGAATGCAGGAATCCATCGAAGTCTGCTGACATTTATCAAACAAAAGCATCTAACAGAGTGTTTACTCGGTTGCCTGGTGTGGTGAACCAGCTCAGTCCCGGCGCCTCATATCCAGATTGGCAAGTTTACGCCGAGCATCCTGTATTCAGGGAGTCTTGCTATCAACATTCACAATTTGGAATTCGAAAGTCACTATTCCACTTGATTCGTATCGAGCTTTGCTGTTATCACCAGTGCTTAAACTCTAGTAGCAATTCTTTGACAAGGCTAGTCTCAATATTGATTCGGTTGCAGCATCACGCTTTATATTGGCAAATATCCCATTGATGTGGCTTTGATCAGCTTATCTTGGTCGATCCACCGATTAAAGGAGGTGAGGAAGTCTTTTTTGAGGTGGTAAAATTCACTTTCACCGAAAGCACAGTAACTTATACCTCGCAAAAATGTCTGCAAATATTGCCCGATAGTCACACGTTCCTTTTGAAACGAACTTGCTGATGCATCAGATTCGACTTTGCTCGATCACTAGGACTTTATAACCGGACCAAAGAATTGCAATCCAATGGCTTTACCGCAACTTGGGGATCAACTTGCTCCAAACAAATATCTAGCTAGCTCCATTGTAACCATGCTAACAATAATTCTGGTGTAATTTATCAAGTCAAACGTGACCTTTTAAAATTTAAACCTATATGTGTGAAAGCAGTGCCATATAGAATTATATTCAAAAGGTATTGCGTAAGATACTGCAACTTGTAGATCAGAAGTAAATCGATGGGATTTCTGCCGAAATGGTCAAGTGCTGATGGTAGAATAAGAACTTGATTCTAGCGACATGCCATATTGAATGGAGCAAAATCTTTCAGTAGACGGTTACTTTGAGAATAGCTAAAGTTTCTGTACTGGTTGTACAGTGGTTACGAATCAGGGCTATAGTTAACCGCCAACGGCACGGCTGAAGAGAGAGTCGTCTTTATTATTGCGTCAAGCTAAGATTTCGTATTGCGGTCATTGAAGAATCCAGCAACATCGCGAACAATGCCGCGAATATTTAAGTTTTCGTTACGCCACAGTAGCGACAAAACTTTTTCTGGTAATTAATAATGTTGGGTTTAGCGGTGAAGACTCAAAAGGTCTTACACTCTTGTATCTTATGTTGTTTAGAGGCCATAATAGAGCAAATGTGCCAAGACCTTGCGTCCGAGGCGGATGAGGTTATTTCACAGTCCAAAACTGCGCTTGTTCGACTTCAGTGTTACGAGGGATGTCTTCAGCTCATTCAGAAGGCAAGTTTTGATGCGGATGCTTCATTCCATTGATACCTAATATTACAAAGTGTCTTAGACCGTTCGCGAACCGAAGAATGAAAATCTTAAGACAGAACTTGTAAACAGGTTGAGTCGGAACATCACCACACTCCGAGTATTTTACGACCTTGCGACGGACATAGGTACATTGATGCTCGTATTTTGAAAAGGGTGATACTTATTGCACATGTTAGAGACTATCTTTGTGGCTCTTATCCAGATATGTAGTCAAAAAGGTACTCTCTCCATTATACTTGGGTAAAAGGTTATTGTGATGCTTACTTTTATGTTTTTTAGCAACTAAGAAAGCAGCTGCTTATCTGATCGAAAAAATTGCGAGTTTGGTAGACTTTGCGGTGAGTTTCGATAGTTTGAAGGCGAAGACTTCCGACATTCAGAACGATCTGAGCCATTTTCGGCGGTTTTTGGCGATCAATGCAGCGAAATTAAATCAATTGGAGAGGTTCTTAGTTCTCATGTAATTCTTAAAACCCTGCTTCACTAAACAACAGGATTGCTTTGCAGTCTGGCTGACGCACCTTTGAACGCAATGTCATTTTTTGTGGCTGATCATTGCCCCATGCTCAAAGTATTAATTCGAGCAATTGAATGTGCAATGGCCAAAGAACCAGCGGCTGTCGATGTTTCAGCTATATTGGCAAATTCCCGCTGTGCTTGTATGACGAGCAGCCGGTAAGACAGTACCATTGTTCTAGAATCTGCGCAATAAAGCGTTACAAAGATGCTTTGAATGAACGCCATAGACCGAAAGACGGACGTCCAATGATGAATTTTTTGCGCGCTATGACTGGAGCTATTATTTTGTACGACCATACAGCTGTTCACGGTGCATTTTGCTCCAAATCGGAAGTGAAGGCATGCTATTTTATATATTTTGACTTGATCTCGTTCGTACTTATCCGATCTGTCTGCAGATCAAACGATGTGTCAAAGAGCTTGTACAGGGAAAGCATAATGGAGCAACATTGGAATTGATTGATACTATCAAATATTGCAGCTTGCATTACAATGACTCGTCAACGCCTATCAAAATTCGAACTTTAATGAACACGTAAAACGCACCAATGTCCGAATGTATGATCTGATAGTAGCTGATAAATTTAATGGAGCACGTTATTTGCATGTGGAGATCTTGATCTCGAATTGATTTACGCTTTGTCACGAAGCTAACGACAAAATTTCAGAAGAAAGTAAAAAACGGACGCTGCTTATCTAGAACATGCGCCTTGTCATTGACACTGATGCGGGTGTCGACGATGCCATTGCCATTCTCATGGCACTACATGCATTTCCTGGCGATCAAGTTGTAGGCATCACCACTGTATTTGGCAATGTAGACTTGCACCAAGCAAATCACAATGTGGCGCAGTAAGTTGTAGTGCTGAGGAGGGCATAAAAAAATTTTCGTTTTAAACTTTTGTGATTATAAACAGCGTTCTTCAGGCTGCTGGTCGCTCCGACATTCCTGTTTACAGTGGCGCGTCTAAGGCGATTGTCGCTAGTGTTTCGGACGAAAAATGGGCAGTACGTCGTTTTCACAGTAGTTGTCTAGTGTATACGTCGAAAGTGACATATTATACTGTAGGGTCACGGTCCCGATGGTCTTGGAGGCGAGTCGGGTCCGGCAAATGTTACTTTAATGGAAGCGCGCCGCAATGAAGCGGTTCACATGCTTATCGATTTGGCTAACAGCTATGCTGGAGAGTTAGTGGTCGCTGCAATCGGTCCCCTTACCAACATTGCACTTGCAATACTGCTAGATCCAAGTTTCATGGTAAAAGTTAAGCAGCTCATTGTTATGGGTGGATTGTCGCGCGGTGAGGGCAACCAAACTGAACACGCCGAGTTTAACGTAAGCTGCGACCCTGAGGCCACTGAGATTGTCTACCGAAACTGTAGCGCTCACAAGCTGTACGTCGTGCCACTCGAAACGTGCTCAGACAATGCTATTCCGTGGGATACCGTTGATAAAATCTTTCACGAAGAAGTAAATTCTAATGGTGAGTATATCAAGCGAATTTGGAAATATACGCGAGAGTTTTGTAAACGCGAAGGATTCTTTCCTTGTGATGCTTATGCCATTGCCATCCTTCTGCATCCAGAGTACATTAAGACTGCCTATAAATTGAAGGGCCAAATTTATTTAGCTCCCGATGAGAAGCGCGGCGCCTGTATTTGGGACAGCAATTGTACGCCAGATCAAGCGAACGTAACTCTCGTAACCGAAATTGACACCCGTGTTTTTGAAGATTTGCTCCACCACTTGGCAGCTTAAGCACTAAAATAATGCCTTTACGATAATGAAGAAACTTGTCTAATACTATATATATACACAATTTATAGTTTGAGGTAGCATAGTTTCTATTGCCTATTGAGGCTTCTCAAAAATTGCGTGTACCCACACTCGAAAGCGAACGACATTTTGCTGTCGATTGGCGTATTGTCGACGTATGTATTCGTTTTCTACCATGCATAGGCCTGCCGCAGTGAAAATTTCTTTAATCTCCTCCGTTGTAAAATAATACGCTCGTGTATTGTCTTGACGAACGTAAAAGTTGTCCTGCAATTTACAACCAGAGCGAAAGCGAAGTTGCGCTTGGTCGTACCGTCCGTAGTCACGAAAAAACAACTTGCCTCCTGGTTTGATTGCTGCAACCACCTTCATTACAGCGGCCTTCATCTTGTCTGGGTGAAGCGCCGATAAGCAGAACATAAAGAGTGCATAATTAACACCGCCATTTTCAAATGCGGCATCTGGTAGCGGATCTTTGGTTATGTCACAAACTGAAGCACTCACACGATTTTGATCATACAAAGGTTGCTTCTGTACCACAGAATCATCCGGAAAAGTTAATGGTTGGAAAACAAAAAAGACATTCAAAGCATACCTTAAGTAGGTCAATGGCTGAGTCGGCAAAGTCGATGGCCACAATATGAAGCGCCGGATTGATTTTCAATAAAGGAAGTGCCGCATTTCCGACACCACTTCCAATCTCTAACAGCGTCCTCGTCTCGCCGCCTTCGGGTACGACGCTTAGATCCTTAAACACCAGGTGAAGATAATGCCTATCTTTGTAGAAATTAGTTGAATTGCGCTTGTAGAACTTATCCCAACTCTTAGCAGACTCTTTTTCGTATTTATCTTTTGTTAAACACAGCACAAAGCTCATCAGCTATAACATGTAGAAGATTTATCCCATTATTCACACACTCACTCTGCCAGAATTCGGGAATCGTTGACGTGTCCTGGCTCAGAAGCTCGCGTGCCAGACGCTCGCGTTCTTCCGTCCACACATCGTCGCACACCACACAGTTTGGGTCCTCTAGAACGAGTTTCCCGACTCCTGCTCTATCCACCAGCTCCTCGAGCTTCTGATTTGTTGGTTTTTCGATGCCACTCATCTTCTACTGCCAGTAAGGCATGTTTTTGCTTTTTAACCAATCAGCAATATAAATTTGAGGCATCTAATCTTAGAAGGTCACACATTTGTCATGGACGTCATTTCGTGCCGCGGCGCAAAGATCTGCAGCCCGTTTGTGACAAGCGACGATTCTATTTACTACGTCTCAGCAGAAACAGGTGAGGTCTTTCAGTTCCACCCCCCATGTGAGCACGTGCCTATTGTCTTCTCGGGTGGGGAGCCGTTCGGTGCACAGTTCGATCACAAAGGTCGATTGCATCTCGCGGATTGTGCCCATGCTGCCATCTTAAGGGTAGATGATGATGCGCAGCCAGGAGTGATGGTGAAGACATACGAAGAACGACCCTTCCGAGGCCCTAACAGCATCGCATTTGCGCAGGATGGCTCACTTTTTTTCACGGACAGCGGACCAATGGGCGAAACGACGCTTGAGAAACCTCAAGGCAGTGTTTTCTGCATCACTTCTAGTCCTGTTGGCGGTCAAGTATTACGTCCACTGCTCACGGAGTGTCTTGCACATCCGTGGGGAATCGCGGTTTCCCCGAAAAATGGTGCCCTTTTCGTCGCAGAGACGATGCAGAATCGAATTGTGAGACTGCATCAACGGCCAAGCAATGTCTACCATGCAAGCGTTTTCTATCAGTTTACAGGTGGAATGGGGCCTTCGGGAATTGCATGTGGAGCCGATGGGACTTTGTACGTGGGGCACTATGATTTTTCAGGTAAAGATCGCATGCAGTGCAAAATAAATCATCAATGATGTGTAGAGAAAATGTTTTAACTTTGTATTCAGGCGTAGATGGAAAGATATTTGTCATCGGATCGGACGGAATTTTGAAGCGAACATTCGAAATTCCAGGGTCGGAAATCACTGGACTTTGTCTCAGGTACATAATATCCTAGAATTTGCTATCAAAGTGATACTAACTTAATTCGTCGTGATTAAAGTCATGATGAGAGCTACGTGTTGGTCACTGAAGCATCCACCAACACAATCCATAAGCTTGTACTTCATTGAAAGTTGCTACGACGAGCCAAGATCGCTACGCTTCTCTACTGTCGTTGCCTCTCCTGTAAACAGCTCTTTTAAGAGGCTTTGAGCCGCTTGTGGAGTATATTTCAGGTATCTGGAAGCGTGTTTTTTTGAAAATTGAATGGCTGAGTATCTATATATGTGCGACATACGACACGATAAGTTTTACATTGAATGCAGCCAAAAAGTGGAAGTAAGGTGTACTTTTCATAAAAAGGCTTGTATGCTGGCATGATCGTGTCAATGGCAGTTCGAATGACATGCTGTCGCATGGGAACGTCCACTATTACGTACATTTTTTGCGCTTTATGCAGCTCTTCAAGCTGATCATTAAATTTCTGCAAAATATACAGCGTTAAGAAAAGCGACATAACGCTTGAAATACTTACCAGAAACTTTTCCTTTATGAGCCTGCCGCTTTCGAGCGTCAACATATTTCCACCTTTTGTATATTGTAGTTTCTCTTTTGGATCGTGTAGATATTCCGTAAAAGAGGCGTAGCTCACGTGAATAAATGCCTTGAGTGCATTATTCCGCAACTTTTCCACGTGCGGTTTAATGATGGTGTGTAGCTGCTTTTCTAAATCTGCATCGTCGAGATGGGGTAGCGAACTAGTAACAAAGCTAAAATTGTTGACAAGAAAAATCTGCTTGAGCATGTCTCGCCCTTTTACAAGGTCCGCTTTGGCTGTGATAACCCCAACAAGTTGAGTGACGATTGTGTCAACGAAAGCGGCTGGGCTGATATCCGAGTCAATCTCAAGCAAAATTTTCAGTGGCTTCGCCTGATCGCACACTTTTCGCAAGAAGTTAATAGTCTGAAACCATACAATTTTTGGTCAACAATTGCAACGTGAAGACATCGAAAGCAATCAATTACATGACTCGATATTGGGTGAACATTTCCATCCCTGGTGGCAATTTGGTCTTCCGAGGCTTCAACCAGGCTGGCCTGGAAATTGAATAGCTTTTGCTTGGCTATAGTAGAGAGATCAGTAACAATCGTCTTTACAGCCTTGGACAGTATCCAAGGGTCGTCAAGTCCTCTTCCGTCTCGGCTACGTAGTAGTATCGGTGGACAGACTGCGGACTCAAATGCGTCAAGTCGCGACAGTACCAAATCGTGAGCCAGTAGAAGTTTAGTCGCATCAAGTTGTCTTGGCAAGCACAGCGCTTTGTCTATATCTTTCTTCCACGACTCCAGCACATGGTGCACAGAAAAACGAAACGCTTCATTGGCTAGGTTTTCATCCGAGAAAATAAGCCCAGCCAGAACCTTTTCTGCTTTGATGGTCACTTCAATGTCTAGCAGATATTTCGATAATGCTGAAATAGAAGTACTAAGATCAAAGCCGATTGAGGTTCCACAAGAATCATCAGTAAGAACCATTTTAATCACACTAAAGCGTTGCTTGCCATATTCCTCTAAAAGCTCCTTTTGATCGATACCAGAGATCAGAAGACATTCCAGAAGCTGAGAACCTCTGAGGACGTCGTGCTCGCTAGGTTTTATCCAGATCAACACGTTTCCACTGTCGCGCTCGCTTCTCGACAGTACACTGACTACGCTTATAAAATCGGTCAAACACTTATTTTGCACTTCAACGAGTAATTCCTTTGCTTGTCCCAAAGCTTTGACAGACCCTTCATATGAGCGATGACTATCAAGAAAAGTTATTGCAATCAACAGCTTCTGTAGTGCTCTGACAAACTCATTCTGGTCAAATCTGGAGCCGTTAAGTAGCACTGGGGCGAGCTGTCAAAAGAGAAAATTTAGAGTCACTGCAAAGTAAGGTGGAGATTGCTATAACTACACCTCGTGCGCCACCTCAAAATTTTCGTTTATTCGGCGGAGCTCCAGCACACTTAGATCGATGTTTTTTTGTGTGCCTCGCAGCTGCTCTGTAAGCTTATAAACTGGCAACGTCTCCTTCTCGACTCTTAGAAGACCTTTCTGAAAGCCCGATAGCGACTGCTCCACCTGCTGCATTTGTAGCTATTCACCAGAAGTGCATTAGGGTGCCCAATGTGATGTATCCACTCTTGACTGGATTAACATACCTGATTATCTCGCAGTGCCTCACGGATACGTAACACACTTGCGCTATACGCCTCCATCACTAATAATCTTGAAGTTATAATTCAGTTCTTTTAAAGGTGTACTTACAGTTCTACGATCGAGCATAGTATAAAATAGGGAATATTTCAAAACGTGACAGACTCTGAAAATTCGACCAGAACATGCATGACACGTTTTGTTTAAAACACCAGTGATCGATTCATCCAACGTAAACTACACAGTACTTTACTACGGCAACGCTGACCATATTGAGCTGTGCCGCTCCCATCTAGAGTACGAGCAAGACAAACTGTCACAAACCTACCAGACAATGGGAGGAGGGCAAACGAGAAAGAAGCCGTGGACGACATTCATTGCTTTCCAGCAGTCGAAGAGCGCTCGGGTGGTCAGTCGAGGTGCTTTGCCCTTCAAGAAGATGATAATATAACAAAGACACGAAAATCGAACAAGATATTCTACACTTCATCGTCCATCATATTTCACTTGAGTGACTTCCGTGCTCAATGAGCCCTGTGTCAACGACACTGAAGCCACCAAGTCTCACTGCTTCTGACAGCAAACTCGGGCAGAGCGCAACTTTGTCTCCCGCACGCGGTGCAATGCCGGACAATGCGTCCGCGGCACCAAGAGATGTACTCCTAGGCTCGATGAGCACGAGCGTCGCGCCACGCGCACGCTATCAGTGACGCGTGACCTCGTTGAGGATGTGGAGGTGGTCGACTACGAGTTTGACACTCCTTTTCCCGGGTGGAATGGCGAGGAAGGCAAGCTGCGCCAGCGGCGTGATTACGAGCCCTTCTCGCGCCTTGCGGACCACATGTCCGTTTCCTGACTTCTCGTCACCTCAAGACGTGGTGTCATCACCAATGACCTCGATGAGGCACAGAAGCGGCAGCTGGGAGCTGCCCGTAAGGCGGCTCTG